AAAATAATTTAGGGTTTGTAGTGGGGGTTGGGGACTTAGGGTGGGTAAATTTTATAATATTATTAATAATTTAACTGATACCTAATTTTTGGTTACCTGATTTTTGAATTCAAAAATATGTGGGTAAATTTTATAATATTATTAAAAATTTAACTGATACCTAATTTTTGGTTACCTGATTTTTGAATTCAAAAATATAAACACCTATTTATATGTAATTTTCCCTTTCAAAACCTATTCCTAAAAAAATTACATGGGCTGGGAGGATTGTTGGGCTACAGCCCAACATAAGCCCTCCACTATCTTCGCCTTTGGCTAGATAGCATTACTCCTGTTATTTTGCACCTAATGTGAATCTTGTTTTATTAATTGGAGTGAATATATAGCCACGATCATATCTCGCTAAATTGATATATGATCGATAAAATCATTGATTGTATTCCTCTTTTACTCTCCACAACAATTTGTGGTACTATAATCAATTTGAACTTTTTGACTCAAAAAGAATGCCCTTGTTTGAGACCCATTTTTGAATAATTTAATGATGTGAAATGTGTGGTTAAAAAATAAGAAAAAATTTTAAATTTTCTTGTAATATTATTTTATTAAATAATGTGTTATTAAAATGATGTCAAAATACTGTTTAAGAATGTATTTTTTCTAAAAAAAAAAAAAAAAAATGGGGCTCAAACAATGGCAAACCCATTATGATTTGAGACAGCTTCCCCGCTAAAAGGGCTATGAGCAATTTTGAAATTTATTATCAATTAAAAATATTAGAAAAGGCATGCACTTATCTTTAGTAGCGACAATGGAACTCATTACCTCTTTCCCCGGTTGTTCCTTCAGCTCAACTTTCGGCACTGCTTCCATCAACCAAGCCAACCAAAAATCCCATCTCATAAAGTAAAATCTTTCCTCACTGCTTCTCGATGTGAAAACACAGATCAAGGAACTAATCTTAGAATAGGAAAAAATTTAGATCTACAAGATTCCAAACTAATTTACATGTTCGAAAAAGACCTTGTTTTTCATAGAATCTATCACATTTTAGTACTGTATAATTCCACTCTACAAGAACTCCAACACAAATGCAACGCATACATGCCATGATAGATCGCATAAGAATTCTTGTTTGTGTGTTGTCATTTCATAAAATTTTCTTTTTCACATATAAAATATGGCACGTCAATGTCTACAAAGTATCAAGAAGTAAAATGGAAAACGAAATACAGGATCTACTTAAGTAGCGAATGCACAATTCACTAGCGTACATCTTGGCACTTAAACATACAATGTTACAAGCTCTATACATCCTAATATTTCCATATTAAAAAAAAAAAAAATGCAAGGTCCAACTTTGGCGTTACTATTTTCCTACCCAAAAACCCAGTAGGCAGCAAATCAATAAATAAATGGAGTGAGAGAGACATTCTAGTGTGTATATATTGATGTACAGAGAAGATAGAAGCAAAGAAAACCCTGTAGCAAAGCTCCTTGAGCAATTCCAAACTTGGATGGCATCTAAAACAAATTATTGAAGGGTCCAAAACCAGCCAAACTTGAATTTAGTTCAGGAACTGAATAGATCCTGCAAAATTGGACATTTGACATACAAGATTGGCCTTCTACTGCACCGTTTCTTAGCCCTGTAATGTACGTTGTCAACCAAACTTTGAATTACATTTGAAGTTTATTGAAACAGATAATGGTGGAGTGTGTGCAAAGGCAGTGATAGTGGATCACCTTCAGTACAAGGGCCGGAAAACCAAACAGCCACTGCAACTATGCAGGTAGAATGGTACTCTCCTTGCAATGCAAAAGTGCACTAGCGTTTTGTAAATTCTCCATAAGAACTAAACAAGAAATTGATCATAATTTGTTTTCACA